CCTATGAACGTAAAGAAGGAATTATTATTAATGAGTTATTTACTATACACATGACATTCTCCCCCTGACTTTTAGGCAACACCTTATGCACAAGTGAGGTTGTAATGTAGTGAAGGAGATTTCATGTACCTGCCGAACATTTGTGCATAAGAATACAAGATTGCCTAAAATTTATGGCAAGTGTATCATATAACTCATTTATAAGAAATTTCCCACTATATTTTCATTGGACAAAAGTAATGATTTTCTTTCCTTCTTCATGATTTAGAAATTTGTAATATTTATTCTCAGATATCATGTATTGGGAACAAGTGCAGTTTGTTTTGTTTTGAATTACAGTTGTGAGACACTTATTTACCTGGACCATGTATTTGAAAACCCTGAAAGAGAATGTAAAGTTCAGCAAATCATTTGATAATCTCATGCAATATCAGGAAATAATTAATAATTAGTAGACTATTGCAAAGTAGAGACCTGAAAGAAGTATATAGCAAGAAATCATGACCAAAACACATTATTGGAACTTTCTGTTCCAAAAATGCAATAGAACTATTTTGAAGAAAAAAACAATAATCAGTCATTCTGCAAGGAGAATAATTTTTCAATTTTGATACAGGCTCTCTTGAAATCACTATTTCACTATCACAGAATGTCTAAAATAAATCCCAATCAAAAAAGTTAAGGGAGGGTTATTATGTTAAGGAAGCAATATTGAGTTAAATTAATTAGCTTTTATTGCTCCATTGCAGCAAAAAGAGGGAGGACAACCCTAAGCTTACATCCTACAAAGAGATTTTTGAAGAAATAAGAATAACAATCACATTTTTACATTAATTGATAAAAAACTACAATAATTCTAAAAACTTGTGTTATCACTATTTTTTTTAAATATGAATAAGCATACCAACGATTTCAAAATCTGATTTCCTTCTTTTAACAGTTTGCGCATCTTCAATACAAGCAAAAACAAATTCCCATTATGATACAAAAGTTATTTGCCTCTACACCGGAAAATCTGTCAAATCCACATTATTTTATTAAATACTTATTCAATTCATAAAATATTGTAACTACCCAGCCTTTGACAAAACAAAATTAGCTATCTTTTTTAAATAAAAAGATTCAAGATCTTACTAGGCTGTAATAAAAATGTTTTTAAACAGTTTTTCTTGGTTCAATGTAATAAAATATGTATAGGCCTACATATAGCAGTCCCACAAAACCAGATGTTCCTAATATAGCTTCAAAATAAACAGGTACATTGAAATAGTATATGAGCTACAAGTTTACGAAGTTGCTAATGAATCTGCAATAGCATTAGTCTAAAATATATAATTCTGAATTTGAATTATATCATTAAAACTTTACCCACCTTTCAGAATTAGTTTTTCCAAATACTTATAAAGTATCTTGAAAATGTTTACAGCAGTATAAGAAAGGTGTAATATTATACAAGTGAAATAATATTTTGTACAATATTAAATTCAAGAAGCAAGATAACAATGTAATTTATATATTTCCTTGTCATTATTGTGTTCCATAATACATTGGTATTAATGTGAGAGTTTATTGAATTTTAATTCAGTTTCTCAATTTGAAATGTACCTTTAAAAAGTAATATATTTATTAATAAAAAGTACCTCCTTCACCTCTATCATTTCAACATTTTGTTGCTGATGGTTCTCTTGTCTTACATGAATTAGTAGTGTTCTATGGTTTGTATAAATAATGTCTAGTATCTCAAAAACATTTCAGTATGGGCAAATTAACTTCTTTCAACCTTACATCATTTTTTGAATACTTGTTTGTTATTATGAAAATGAATCATCAAACAGTGTGTAAAAAACCATTCTAAAAGATCTGAAAGTTGTCAATTCAATGTAATACATCACACACATTTCACAGATTTTAATAATGCATAGGGATGCAGTGGAATTGAATTCAATGAAAAATACATTAAATAACTGTTGTTTTTTTTCTGTGTAGCTGGTGCTGCTGACTTGAAACTACAGGGTGGACCAAACAGTAAATCAAGAAATAGTGTGGCGAGTATCATAACAACTTCATTGTGCATATATTATGCTTTATTAGGGTCTGTTATTATGTGCTGGCTTTGATTCACATAATTGTGAAAGTAACAAAAAGTGCTAAAAGTTATGAACAGTTGTCTTCCCAACATCTGGAAAGACTCGCCAATCAAGACACTTACATAGTGTTTCTTACTTCTCTAACTTGATATCATGCCTTTCAAAAGAAACTGGCTCTGATAGACAAGTTAATTACTAAGTGTAGTGGAAGACCTCAAGAAACATTGGTGTATGGAAATGTATGTAACCATTTTCTGATTGGAAAGTCAGTGAATTTCTTTAGAAGTAGATTGTATTGTTTGTAAAAATTATTTGTTTGCCATTCATGTACGATACAAGAGCTTGTACAAATAATTTTTAAAATTTCATTGAAAAAAAAAAAAATTGTTTGGACTCTGAATATTGCTGCACAAAAATCATTCTTGTTTTGCTACCTGTGATCTGCTTGCCTTTCTGAGCATTTCAAATTTAAATTAAGGAGCACCAAATCTGTCTAAACTGTGTAAAGACAAACACTGAAATATAGAGATCAAAGAATTGCTTCATTTGTACACACTTATCAACATATCTTTTGGAAAATGTGAACTGGAAGTGAAACAGTAGATCTTTACAATAATTGCAGCAATAATTTGATAGTGGTAAAGTATTTTCTACACATACATAATTTGATCAAATCCAATGGAAATGAACGTATACTCTTATTTGATTATTATCAATTATTATATGTTCTTGTCAGCTCCATAGATTGTATAATTTGGTAAAAATAGAGATGCAAAGCATCTACTTAAGTGTGTAGATCCTTTCCTGATGATATTGTTCCTGAAGCAATGATGTGAGCTTTGATTATGTGAAGTACTGACTGCATTAAAGCAAATTTTTTCAATAGCGTTTTTACATGACAAAACAAACCTCTTCCTTACAATGATATCATCACCATCAATTGATTTCCAGTCATGAAAATGCAATTGGAAAGGTGAATGTCACCTAACAGAGAATTCAGAAGATAAAAATGAAGAACTGGAAATAGCAATGCACACCAGTCACTAAGGACAATGTATTTCCTTGCTAGAATTAGTATTCAAACATCATATGATGCTTCAATGATAATGAAGTGTATCTAAAATTCAGTTTAATACAAATGCTCAAATTTTGAAATTATTTTGTATTTTCTTTTTTGTACATATATTATTCACAAGTAACTTGATAATTTTCAATGTATTTATGCACTTTCATAAGGAACAGATTTTACTCTCTTATGCATATGAAATTTATTCTTGTAATACAGAACAAAATATCTGCTGACCTCTTTCTATTATTATTTAATCATTTTTATGTTGTAAATGTAAATTAACAATTACAACTATATTATTTATTTTCATAATAAGTAATTTAGGGAAACAATAATAATTGTGATTTATACATTCTACCCATGATTTACCTTACATGAAATACATTTTTTATCTTTACTTGCACACTCCCATGAACATAATATTTTTTTAAATGAAAGAAGTAGGTTTATATAATCTATAAAATTGGTAACACTGACTGCAAAATATGACTGGAATGACAAGAGAAGTGTAGTCTTACAAGGTCCTATAACAATTATCTTCATTACTTTCTATTGAACACATCATTTCTTAACAAAAGTTAAAAATATATATATATATATATATATATATATATATATATATATATATATATATATAAAACTGAGAAGTAGGGTTTGTATGCAATATCCTGTAGTTCTTACTATATCAATGAATATGATATTTTCATGAAAATATTTGCTGGGACTTCAAATTTACTAATTGAATGGAAATTTCAAAAGCAGAAGGCAGTTCTAATGTACTGGGGACCAAGCAGTGGACTAATAAGTTGAAAATTAATTTCAATTTTCAGAAATCTCAGCTAAGGAAAAACGTATGTATCATAGAATCATATTTTTATTTCCAGTAAAGTAAATGTTACAACAGATTTCCCAGCCCTATCTAAATTTGAAATTTCCTGAACTTTCTGTAGAAGTGTGTAGCATTTGTATGTGTACACTTTTATGAATGAAAATACAAACTAGTTGATTCAGAGTCTTTTGTCATTGGATATCCTAAAACATACTTACCATGAAATGTTTTAAAAGGATATATGAGAATGGATTATTTATATTGCATGGTAATTTTGTAATACAGAATAATTACAGAAGAATTTAAGTCTATCAAAATTAGCAATATCAAGGTTGAGTCTTGCACATTACAAGGGAAGGGTCTCCTTTTAAATTTTGATTTTATTGATGATTTTGGTAATTAATTACCTAATAATTATAATATTAAAATAATATATAATATAATATAATATATATATAATATAATATAATATAATATAATATAATATAATATAATATATATATTATATATAATATAATATAATATTAATAATTAATATTATAAATATTATACCTAATATTTATAATATACAAAGTAAATTCATTTAAATAAAAAACATGATTTAATTTCCGGCTCTGCAAATGGTAAATCAATCAAATTTTCTCACATGTGTATTTAATAACAAAAATTATTTCTTTTTTTAATCAAAAAAAGACCTATGTATTTTCATAATATTGTAATGAACTAAAATCTATGATGCTAGGACTTACAATACTACAAAACTACATATTTTGAATATTTGCTTTGAGTGAATAATCAAGATGTTTTTTTAACGAAGTCACAGATGCAGTAGTAACTCAAATTATAACAAACACTTCAGATAAATTGCCTAATTTGTTACACAAAAAGCACATTATAAACTCAATCAATTATTTTTAGCTTTGTAAAATATTGAAACCTACAAAAAACACACAAATAATCACCCCCTCCCCCTGCAACGCTACGGTAATTTTCATAATAAATAGCCTATAAGTTTTCTAGACCTCACTAATGTGTGTAAGTTAACAAATAAATTATACCATATATGAATCATTCTTATCAAGACTTCATGCAGAGAGAGACTTGTAATTTAAATTATGAGCAATCTCTCTGGTAGAAGAATACTGTTTATTCATTGAACTCAACTTCAGTAAAATATTTGCATTCTTAGGTTTTCATTTGGGACTTTCTAACATGTTTTGATAACTGAGATGGTACTACCTATAATATATTTAAGATTGGTTACTTAGAGAGATATATTAGACTGAAAATTGTACTTAGAAAAAATAGAAATTGAAATTGAGAATCTATTAATTGATATTTATTGGAGCTTGTTTATTATTTCTATTGCAATGTCTTCAAGTAATCTCCTATGTTTGCTACAGATTGAACAACTCAATTTAAATGCTTTAGCAAATTATGAGCTATTAATTTATGTAGCAAAATTCTTATTTAACTTTTCTTTGGGTAAGTTGGTGAAACAACTCAATCAATTTATACTTTTATAAAACAGTCTGTATTTGTTTAATAAGATTGACATTGGTTTTGTTATGCATTGGTAAAACTTTTAAGAAATTTGTTAAAGTTGCCAGGCATTTTGATAAATTAAAATTATAGCTATCAGCTGATAATTTGCATTCTAGTTTTCATTGCCCTTTACATTTCCAAACTTTGTGCATCACATGGATATAAAGCATAAGAATACTATTTTATCGTGAATCAGGAAAAGAAAATTAAAATGTTTTACTTTAATTTATTGTATGTTATGTAGGTTACTGTATCAATGTTGAAAAAGCTCTGTTTTCTGGGAGTTTTGTCTTTGTACAGAGATAATGGAGTGTTAGGAATCATTTATTCCATCACTGATCATCCATTTAAGATCATTCAGGTAAGTAAAATTATGGAAATGAGAGGAAACCCTGAAAGAATCAAACCATAACTTGCTGGCCTCAGTTAGTATTTTCAAAATGACATATTTAGTGTCAAAAACAGAAAACCCTATTTGTAGAAAAAAATTGACTTTTCTGTTACATTAGTTTTTGAGGATGTGACTGTATGAGCTTTATCTTCAGATTAATGAATGCTGTAATTCCAAAGTATGAAGGTAGAGTATTACAGCTACCTGCAAATTTTTATTTATTTCCTACAGTGCCTTTTGAGAGGAATTTTGTTTTGTTTTGTGGCATTGTTAATGTTTTAATAAAAAGTATCATAATAATTTAATACGTAGAGAAAATTTGTTTCAATGATTAGTTGTTCAATAATTAGTTGTTCAATTCTACATCAATTCCTGTTCACAAATCCTGTTTTTACACATCAAATAAGAAATTTATTTATTTTTCCCTCTATCTTCAATTTTCTTCACATTTTCCAAAATTTCAGATTTGTGGGGTTCAGTTTAGCGAGGTTGACTTTCATTTTATCCTGACTTTTATTCAACTCTTATTGAACAAGTTTCAAAGAACAGAGATATTATAAATGAATATTCCAGAAATTATGCTTTTTGTGATGTTTTCTCAATACACACTGTACTTATTCAAATTCTTTGTTTATTCAATTAATAAATATAAATATTTTATATCTGCATTTTTGTAATCCTCTTGGTTTTTTTAGACCAATAAAATGAAATTTCAGTAACAAATTTATTTGAAATGACCAGGAAAAGTTATATCTTACAACGTTTAGCATTCTAATGTGTATGCCTCAGGTGGTTGAAATTCTTTCTCTGTCACGCTGTGATGGTAGCTCATGACAATTCCAGATGGAGCCAGTTATTCAATCCAAAAATGCATGTAATGGAGTATTTGTTTTTATAATATTGTGTTTAAATGTTGTTTTATTTAGCTGACAGCTATAATTTCTCAGCATACATTAACATATGTAACATTTGTAACATATGCAACATTGTTTCTAAAAATACTGTCAAAAACAAAATAGCATTTCCTAACATAATTTTAATTCAATTAAAATGGTAAGTACCTCTCCCAGTACACAAGGCTGGATTTACTGTGATGGAGTTCCACAGACAAAATTTTGGTGGGGCCCCTTTGTTGGGTATATCTCAAGAAAAACATAAAATACTCTAAATGTAAATACATTTCTGGTAAGATGTACATTTTAACTGTGTTACAATTTTTAATTTTTGGTAACCATGTTATACATGCCTTTAACTATGTTAGAAAGAACTTTCCTCAATGTCCTTCCTGCAAAATCATCAATCACATCATTGCTGCTTTTTAAAATGGCAAGATTGTTGTGATGTTGAGTCAATTTCATTCACAATCTGTTTTGAACTATTTTCAATTTGAATACACTCTTTCAGCAGTACAATTAGTTATCATCAAGAGAAGATACATTGAAAGTGATTTCCAAGTTAGTGAAAGCATCTTGGTCTTGCTTTTGTATTACTAAAATATACATATAACATTATTTGAGGAAGTGTCATTTTTCTGCTGCTAATTACTTGTAAAATTCTGAAAATTGAACAAGTTCAATCACAATATTTTTGTTGACATGTTTTTGCAAATTTGATTTAATAGTTTTGCTTTCTCAATCAATTTTTCTGATTTCAAATCTCAAGCGTAGTCAAGAAACCGAAAATCTGTAGAGACCAATTCATATGCTGAAATCTGTTGATCCGACAATGTTATGAACTGGTGAGTAATGAGGAGGTAATTTTCTATGTAAAATCTTCATAAAGGTGACAGGTCTGGTGAATACCTGTAATCCAATAGGGACGATTTGGGTGACATCTCCTGGAGATAGCATAGTCTGAAGTCCCTTCTTTTTCCCTTCCTAAGTGTTTGTAGTACCATGCTCCTTCTCAATGAAATCTGTTAGTGACTTTAGATCTTCAACACCAGAACTTGGAATTCTGAAGAATATTCTGAATTCTGTGGTGTTTATTCTATTAACCCTTTACTCTATTTCTCCATTACTTACGTGGACTGTTTGGGATCAGATTTGACCCTATATGTTTTACTCAATCATTTACCCGTATTTCATGCATGAATGCTATTTGGAATTATTATTTAAGAAAATGATGCTATTTATTTGCTTCATTTACTATTTACTTTATTTGCTTCATATACTATTCATTTAAAAAAGAAAAATTTCCAGAAAACACATTCTAGCATATCCTCATAATTATACATAGGTGTCTACATACCAGTATAAGAATGTTTGATAAAAAGCTACTAACTTATAATAGATAAATACACCAAATCTTCATTCAGAAACAAAAACATAATATAAAATAGAAATGGACATGTTATTAGAATTTTTCTTATAATTAAATATGTGTTACATCAAATCTACTTGGGAGCATTTCTGACCCCAGCTGCATAAAAAATCAAATTACTTCAAACCAAGAAAACTTAAAAACTGAAAATGTTACAACATATGTAAAAT